CCCCCAAAACCCCAAAACCCCGTGGCTAATTATTTAGCAGAATTTTGGGATTCGAATAATTCTTTATTAAAATAATGAACATTTTAAATATATAATATTTCTCTACCGTGATTAAGTCATTTTTATTTGGCAAAATCACTCTCACTAGATTATAGAAATAAACTGAATTTAATAAAATAAGATTATTAATGAAGACTAACAGTTTAAAAACAAATAAGTACAGATAAAAAGATCAAATTGACCAAGTGATTAATGATGAAGAATTAGGGATCTTTTGAGAATAGGAATAGGAGCAAAGAATTCCATTACTTGAGCCATTGTCGAGGGGTATTTATAAGAAAAAAGCTTAAATTCAAAAGAAAATCTATACTTCAAGAGCTAAATTAATGGCAAGTCTATAAATTCCGCCTTCGAATAATTCCCGAATAATAGTGCCATCAGATGGAAAAGGCTTATTTTTTAAAAGAGGCTTTTATAATTAGGAGTATCTACAAGATTTAATGGATTTAAATGAGTTTAATGAGTATATTGAATAGTTCACGAAGATAGTACATAAGTGCTATTCAAGAAAAAGGATTATGGATAATTGTAAATTGCCTGACCGTGTCTATCATCTATTTCTGATATCAGCAATGTTTATTTTGGCATTTGCCTTCATGACATTTTATGGCACTACTCTTAAGTAGAAGTGGATATTTTATGGAGGATTGATACTAATGCTTTCAGGCTTTTTAATTATTTGTATGATAGTGGTAAAAAATGCAGTTATTAAAGTCCAAGAGCATCCAACATTTGATATTCTAGTGAATTAAGATCTAGAATGTTATTTTGATAAAATTAACTAAGACTTAGGAGATCGAGGTATGCAATGGAAAGTTATGATAGGGCATTATTGGCTTGAACTTACTATAAATAGGAGACAATAGATAGTTGATGAAGAAGTAGAAATTGTAGACTAAGAAAGAGAAACACCAAGGACAGATTTCACTCCTTTAAACTTCAAATAATCAGGACAAAATAAAAAACAGAGATAAACGAAAATAAGTTCATAGAATAATGAAATTAGGGAGATAATTAATTAAAAACGCAGAGTAACCTTGATTGTTATGTAAGATTAGGATGATGAATTGTATTAAGCTGTTTAAGCATAGCACGATCAACGCAACAGATCAAATCTGCAAAAAAGTAACATAACTTTAGAAACATAAGAAAAAGTAGATGATGATATTTTGGAAGAATTTTAACTTAATTAGAACAATGGAAATTATCAATTAAATTTTGATGGATCAAACGATTAATAAAGAAATTAGTAAAATATAGATATTATCTCAGATGATGAGGAAAGTAATCAAAACTTGAATTAATCTCGAAGAATGTTAATTAAGAAATAAGATGAAGAAATTCAGAGATAGGCTGAATTAAAGCTAAAAGTCATTAGCAATCTTTAAAAAGAAACCTGATCAGGTGATGAATAGTTAATGAGCCTTATTCTAAAAGAATAGCCTTAAAGCCAAAGAAGTACAAGTAGTAAATAATAGCCGAATTATGCTGAGATTTTAGCCGATGACAAAGGCGTATAAGATGATAGCATAATAATTACAAATCAAGATTAAATGATAGAGAGTCATAGGAGGGTCCCTTAAGACCAATTTAATACTTAAAGTAATGTCACAGGAATTGATATCTCAATAGGCTTAAATCTGAAGGTTAATAACAGTAATAATAATAGCTAGAAAGTATAAATTCATTCGATAAATGAAGATCTAATGAAAATCAAAAGATGACAATGATAATGAAATTCAATGATATCTTATTCGGAGAGGATAAATATTACATTAAGCTGAAATGCTTGAAACAATTTTATCACATTACTATAAATTTAATTTCTTTAAAGACAATTTCAGTTTTATCTAAATTCAAAGCATTAGGGGTTTTGGGGTTTTGGGG